GCTTACATTTCAGCAACTATTTATTTTATAATGCTTCCATTTACTTTCTGCTTCTGTTAATTGTTTAATAACTGTGATCACTTTGTACCTTAATTATGCAATGTGTATGACAAGGCACATTTTAATATAATGCTGCTGTAAGATATTCTTGTGTCTCAAGCTGTTTGCATCTGTAATAAACATCTCAAAGTAACAGGAGATTAAGAGAACATCTCTTAACCTGGGTAGCAGACTTTTGAGTTTACATGCATAAAGGTACATGAAAATGGCTTCCTGCCTGCATAAACTTTTTAACACAGATTACTTGAGAATTTTTTTTCCAGCCTTTTAATGGCTTTAACTACCAAATAATGTCACGTGATATCAGAGATATATAGGGACTGTATAAATTGTTGTGCTTGCTATCGTTCGTTTGCTACAAAAATCTGTACCAATGAAATGCAAAATACATATAAATTCCACAGCAACAATTCGTCTTAAATGGCATAAATGTTATTTATAACAGCACATATTTCAGAATAGAAGTTTTGAGACTATCCCTGATGCCCCTAAGCTGTTATGTTTATTGTGCAGACCCCCTTGTAACAAGTACCGGGGGTATTAAACCACCAACAATTACAGTTACAACTTTTTCTACCCATCATGACAATGTCTGAAATTATGGTGATGAATTGGTATGGACAAATATATATAACTTAACTTTCACGCCATTTAAGATGAATTGTTGCTTTCAGATATATATTTATTTTGCATTTCATCGGTACGACTTTGCAGCACTCGGACTATAGGAATTTGTAAGGAATGTTGTGTTAATGACACAATTTGTAATCTGCCAATATTTGTCCCAAGCATAATTGTGATAATTCTCATATCAGCATCTCATCAAACATTGTTAAATGTAAATACTGTTAACCTCTTATTTAGTTCTTACTGTTTGTTATTGATAAATCATGCATCAGAGATGTAAATATTAAAGGAATATTCATATCACCATATGGGAGTCATCCAAAACAAAATGTTGAAATAAACTTAAAAAACATTTGTGCGCTCTTTGTTTTATAATGCTTTATGCGGATGGAGTGAGTGAAAGAATAAGATTTTGCACCCTTTCGAGCAATTTCGCGGCAGGGGATGTCAGATTCACATGTTGTACCCATTTGTGGCATCAAACCAGTACCTTCTGAATACTGGTAGCATGTGATGCATATGCTTCCACTGACACCTTCCCACTGTCTAAACTTGCGTCACAAGGGACCGGCAAAAACTGTTCGACTGACAACTCCGTGTTTATCAATTTGAAAAACAGACATCAAAGACAACACAATTTTATGGGTAATCCTCTTGAAATGGCAATCATTTAGTCAGAAAACAATGACGGTATATATAGAGGAGACTTTGTCTAATACTCAGTGCCGGAATCGGAACAGACAAATGCCAGGGTACCCAAAGTTTAAATAATGATGTTTTACCAAAGTTTTACTGGACTTGAAATAAATGCTGGTTCATAAATGTGTCAAAAGAATTCAGATTCTGGTTCAGAAAGAGCCCAATGTATTTCTTCCCACCAATTTTCATCAATGCACAATCGTTTAACATATGTTTAGCCAGTGAATACATGCATATACAAATATGCAACATCTTGGCTCAATGCAAATTACACCCCCCCCCCAAAAAAAAAGCAGCCACAACTGCTATATAGCTAACCTGGCACAAGTATTCAAATATTGATTGGCATGACTAAGGTCTGTTCAAGTTGTGTTTGCAGTGACAAAAGTAAAACTGATCTGCCCACTACTCATCAATATAACCAGTGAAAGAAGAATAAATATGTTGTTTGTTTGTTTGTGGTTTAACGCCGCACTCGGCAATATTCCAGCTATATAACGGCGGTCTGTAAAATAATCGAGTCTGGACCAGACAATCCAGTGATTAATATCATGAGCATCGATCCACGCAATTGGGATCGATGACATGTATCAACCAAGTCAGCGAGCCTGTGCACCCGATCCCGTTAGTCGCCTTTTACGACATGCATAGTCGCCTTTTACGGCAAGCATGGGTTGCTGAAGACCTATTCCAGCCCGGAATCTTCACGGGTCAATGTATTTGACCTTATTTAAATGATTGATTTGGTTTGGCAAATTGCACTTTTGGAGGCAATTTACTGATATATTATATTCAAGTGTTTTGCAATTAATTATTACAGGTCAACATTTATATGACATTCACAATGCACACACATAATATAAATATTTAATCACGTTCCTGGACCTAATTTACCAATTTCATCATGATTTAAGTTACTGCATTATGTCAATGAAATGCCAGGTTGACTCCAATGACAAGGCTGGTGAGGCCTGGTGCATGAGACAACAAGGAGCATCTTAAAAGAGTCATCAACACCACTACAGTCTGTCGTGTTGGATGATGACATGTGGTAAGAAATTAGAGTTACGTCCCTTAGTGCGTCGTCTGCTCATGATTTAAGTTACTGCATTATATCAATGAAATGCCAGGTTGACGCCAATGACAAGGCTGGTACATGAGACAACAAGGAGCAGGGGCGGTCGGGTAGCCTAGTGGTTAAAGCGTTCGCTCGTCACGCCGAAGACCCGGGTTCGAATCCCGACATGGGTACAATGTGTGTAGCCCAATAATTAAGACATAATTAATAACAGAACAGTTTTGGGGTTGAGTTAACGTGATACATGTTAACTCTACCCAAAAACTGTTCTGTTATTAATTAGATCTAGATCTATGTCTTAATTAAAAAATTGATTTCTCTCCATCTGTCTCCAGTACAAAATGTCTCCAAACAGTGGAATCAATTTCTGAGAGAACGAATCTTAGTCTCGTAGAAATATCATATATAATTAGACTTGTTCTAAGATAGGGAGAACAAGAATTACATATTTCTACTGAAATAATGGAACTAATGAATAAAAGTGAAGGTGTAGTGACGATAAATGTCTGTAAAATTAATTTCGGTCGTGTAGATCAATACCTGGTGTGTCCACTATGTTGGGTGATGCATGCACGACACCTTGATGGCATAATGTTGATTGTTTCGCGCATGGTTACCCTTGGTATTGCCCCCTTATTCCGCCAGAAAACCTACCTAAAGCTGGGGCACGTCTCTGGCCTACTCTCTCCGCTTCAGAACATCCCACAGATGATCTATTGGCGACATGGCGGGCCGGTCCGATGTCCGTATGCCTTCTCATTGGAGATAAATGGTGACAACCTGGGCACGATGTGGTCTTCTAGCATTGTCATCTTGCAGTTCAAAATGTCTGCCGATAATTATAGCAAATTTCAACACCTACCGTTAAAAACCGTCTGTATGCAGCCCGCCTGGAAAGCAAGACGTCCTGTGAATGCGGCCTCACAGAACAAACAATCCATTGGCATCTTAGTGTAGACAAAGAGTATGGATAATATATTTCAAATTGTGATTAAATTTGACAGGGGTTATGTATATGATGTTAAATTGCATTCTCCCAATAAGCTATAATAATTCAAGGAATGACTGCCAATGCCTATACGTTAACAAATGTATTCGCTGGGGTAAATATTATGTCCCTGACTGTATGACCTCTTGAACTATGTGTACACATTAGGCCACACGACAGGGACACCTCAATCCTTAACTTCACGAGGGATGGATAACTGTTGTGCGTTGTGCGCCGGCTACAGAAGTTGCTACCTCAGGTTGAATTGTAGGTGAATCATATCAGAATTATGTAGTGATGACGGATAAAACTTGCCAAAGGGCCGAAAATCAGTATCACAAGAAGGTGAGTGTATACCGATGTTGAGGTTTCAAGTTTTATAAGACAAGGGGTTGTTTGATAACATGTCTGTATGAAACCTGCGTTACCTTGACATATATGATCGTTTGGGTATATTATTCTCTGTTCGTAGAACACAGGCGATGCTCAGATAAACATTGTGCAACAAACAGTGTAACTGAAGATGCAGTTATGGAGTGTTAGAAATTGGCACTAGTCCTGTTGTCCTTGCCACACTGCCCAATAGTTAAGGTATCATAAGGACTCATAGAAATTGGCCCTTTTTATTATCATTATTCTATATGTTATCATTATAAAGACAAGTGGACTAAAACTGTTTGTTTATAACGCAGACTTAGGGTTGACACATTTAAGTACAAGCGACGTGTGGACACCCACACAACTAAGTACAGAAAGGAACGTTTTTGAATGAACGTTAACAAATTCAAAATCGATAGGAGACTGAACTGTTTTTTTTAAAATAGACGTAAATATTATGAAAACAAGATTTTCCCACCAATCTCCATATATGTACACCTAAACTAAGTAATGCATTTTGTATCTGTTTTTAGTGTTCACATATTGTAATGTCCTAATCATTTCGTTTATAGATTCTCTCTACAGGCAGTATGCTGGGTTGATATTATTAAGAAGCCACTTGTCTGGTACATCGTTCATCATGCTGTAAAGTAGCCATATGGAACATGGATAAAATAGTTCAAAGGACACCAATGCCGTTGATGGTAACCCTCTTAGACTTTTAAGATACCATAAAAATGACTAAACATTTATATTCGGGAACGTTCGCAACCGGTTTTTTTAACTTTGACAAGTACATGAGTACGGTGTAACTCATTAACAAGAACTATTAAATACACTGTAGCAAAAAGCTACATATCATACCACATAAATACTTGTAATGTGAACAGAAAGTAAAACGGAATATACACAGACTATAACATTTATATATATATATAGGCCCCCTGGTAGTGGTAGAACATACACAATGCATGGGAATATAAAAGAGGATGGTCGACTTGCAACACGACAGGTCATCATTCATTGAAACACCTGTTTGGATAACGCTTTTATTTTGAGTTGATAAACAGTCCCAGATCATTTTCTATAAAATTACTAGATACGCTAGCCATTAAAGAGCAATGTCAAGACCTGACAATATGACAAATACACATTTTACATGTTTGTTTATTGTAGGCCAAGGTTTTCTTAAATGATAATCAGATAGTGTCAGTGTTGAATCAAAAAATGTTTTGAACATGATAAACAAATCATGAAGGAAAGGATCCAGGGTCAACAATGTCATTTCCAGAACTGCCTTTTACACAAGAAAACGGGAAAACGTTGCTTGTTCCATCTTCACTCCATGTCTCTATGTGCCTGACATCTACTTCTGGTCTGCCTGGAGATGCATGTTAACTGTCATAGAGCACCTGTTGCAATCCTCCTTAACACGGCTCAACTTCTCCACCATATGGGGGCTGAACTGGGTGGCCAGGTCAACGTGGAGGATGTGAGACTTCACTGTCATGATAAAAATGATTACATGGCGACTAACCACAACATCTTGCAAATATGCTGACCTTATATCACTGTGTGTTTGGCAAATTACGTTACTCATTATTCTGAGCCTTTGAAAATATTATTGAAAACAAGACTGTTCACAAATGCTCATATGTACACGCAAACTAAGTAATTTATTACATATATTTTTTAGTTATCACATTTAATAATTTCGTTTATATATAGATCTACAGGCAGTATGCTGAGTTGTAATTATTATTAAGAAATCACTGGTCTGTTGTTTGTTCGAATTATGTTAAATACCCTGATAAAGAAATGATATTATGTACTCAAGCTTGATAACAGTGTTAGAATCAACATCGCAACGTCGCTATATGCAATAAACCATAAGTTGTCATCCATAAAGTTATAATTTTTCTTAAGACATTTGTAAAGCGGTATGCAAAACAGTTCCCACAAATTACAAATGCTATACTAGTTGCGATACTGAACCTCTGGTTTTGAACAAATCTTCCTTGAGCTGCTCCAATTCCTTGTTCATCTTATCAATCTCACCAAGGGCACTCTGGTGGCAGTGTGTGGCTTCCAGGGCTGAGTTTTCCGTGGGCACGTCGTTCATCATGCTGTTAGGTAGACAATGTGGAAAATTGATAAAACAATTATCAACGCCAATGCCTTCGATGGCAGACGTCACCCAAATATTTCAAGATACCATTTAACAGGGTTCTTAAAATTCAAGGTCTTTTCGGGGCTTTCAACTCTCATTTTCAAGGTTTGTTTAGTCGGGTCATTAGCCTTAGTCTGACAATACTTTTATTTTTAATCCAGCATACTAGATATCAGTCGTAAGACCTAAAACGCAGAATGAACATCAGAATTTTTCAAACGAGATTCTTTTTCACAACCAATAAGCAAAATACATTAAGTCTGTCATGAATTCTTCAATGTCCTTCGCATGGTTTCAAATCTATCAAAGCGATAAATCACACTTAACATCCTTGACGTACAGACCTATTATTAATGATGTCATTTTGTACAAATTCAATTTATTTATTCAGTTATTTTGGTGATTTTCAAAGCTTTTCAAGGTTGACACTTACAATCAAAGCTTTTCAAGAGGTACCTTAAGATTCAAAGCCATTTCAAGCCTGTACGAACCTTCTGAACAGTCGATAAGTGGTTTTTACGTGACAGGAGAATGAGAACGGTGCAACCCATTCAAAATATTATTGAATACGAAAAGGCTATATATCATGCTTCATAAATACATAATGTAAGCATAAAGTAAAAGGGGACTGACTGTAAAAAATGTAATAGTTATAGAATGTAATTCAAGCTATCACAGACCAGGCTTAGGCCTATATAAAACTTTACATAAACCCCTGTAGCGGCTGCAAGTTGTCCTAGACACTGCATGGAGATGTAAATGGGGATCGACTCGAAACATGACATGTCATCATTCACTGAAACAACTGTTTGGATAACGCTTTTATTTCAAAGGTTCGAGGGGCCTAAATGTGATGACGTATTCGCTTAATTACTGTCAGCACAATATTCATGTGGTGTGAAGCCAATGGATATCCTGACTTACCACAGTTTTATGTAAAGGCAAATAACCGAAAACAATCCGAAATAGTATTGAGACAACTTGCACAAACGCAACTTTCAAGCAGCATGAATAACGGGTGTTCTCGTTTGGCGATTACTTGCATCGTCTGCTTTTGGTGGCCATGTGATTGCAGCGCCGGATATCACGTGATAAAATAATAGCCACTTTTAACACTCTGTTTAATAATTACGCCACATAAGTTTCTGTAGGGTTAGTATGGTATTGCTCTACTGCTAATATATTTAACGCAGCATTAATAGACTTTTTATGAAGGTAAACAAATCCATTATAATTACTTGCTGCGGAGTAGTTAAGTGTGCTTCCGGTTATGTCAAATATTTGAAAAGTGCTGTGCTAGATTATATTGTGGTTATTTGTCTAAAGACATGCTCTTAGAATGATTGACCGTGGATGTCTTCCACATGCTATAGTCAACAAGTGGTACTGTGGCACTTTTATCATATGTCATGATGAAAATATAGTTTTCCTGGCGCTAAAACTTGAACACTGTTGAAGATGTCACACGTCCGTCCAAAGGAAAACATGGCGATGCAATCCACACGTCAGGTGAGAGATAACTTGAACTAAAACAATAAGCGTACGTCTGAATGTCTTAGACAAGATTAAACATCACCATCCCTTGCGTAGTAGGAGCAATAGCAGTGCTAATTTCACTTGACAAAAGTTTTTGAACCTCAAAATGACAGATACGAACCTAGTTAACATTTTGAACAGATGACAGTCCAATGGTCTAAGGGATAGATTATCCTGACGATATAAATGCCTGAGATATAATATATAGGTCCTGTAATTAATATAAGTGTCAACTGTAGTATTTAGGTGCCCACTTTGGCCGTTTCGTCAAAGCTTTGCTTATATGTAAGCGAGCACAAGCTAGCTGGGTGAAATTCGTTAGAGGCATTTTTGAGAATATGGGGTCAAAGAGTTTAACGATAAAAAGTAAAGATGTCATGTGTCTGCAGTGTTCTGCCAAGGCAGAGGGCTCGCATGATCATTGCTAACAAAAAAGAATTGACTCATAACTTATACTATTGGGGGGTCACTTGGCGCATACAAATTCTGTAATGTCTCACAAATATGACACAAAATTTCTTGAAAACTTATCAATTTGTCGTCAAGAACTTTATTCTAGGACGTTTCCACACCAGGATTGAAAAATAGGAGGAATGCATAGTGTCAGATAGCATAAGTATATCAATATATACAATTAGTTGTACAAGTTTCAAGTTTTCTATAATCTTTTTTGAGCCATGGAATGTTATTGAATGTTTCATTCAAAACACTTCCAGTTGAAGTTGAATTAATACTACTGAATACTACTGAAACTTTCTTTAACATTTTATTTTCAGACAATGGATCTGTCAGAAAAACGCGAAACCTTGCTTCACACACTCAAGTTGGCTTACAAGAAGATCAACTCACTCAATGCTGCTACGAGGAAGATCAATGCTGTCATGGCTATCTTGTTCATGAGGAGAGACAAAACTAAGAGCGACATGGACAGCATGACACGCCGACTTTCAGCCAAAATAGCCATGCTGCAAAGAACATTTGAAAAAGATCTTTCCACCATCGTGGACAGAAAGATTAAAGCAATGGAGGACCAGGTGCAAGTGCTGTTTGATGAGATCTGCACCCTGGGAGAAGTTTGTGTGGAGGCAGAGAAGGTGCTAAAGATTCAGAATGAGCACAAGTTAGCATCAGATGGAACTCATCTGACAGAAACTTTCGAGTTTTTGCTGGATAGCAAACATGATGGCGAGGATCAGGGTGACCTTGAAAATTTGATGTTCCTACAGTTTGTACAAGGAGACCTGGAGACAAAGTTCGATCAAGGGGTGTTCGGACATATTTTCACTTCAAACAAAGATAGTGGGATATCGCTTGCTTGTTCCAATATGTCTCTTGATTCGAATCCTGAAGTGAGTCCAATTCCGGAACTAGGCTCATTGTTGAACAGTGCACATGGTTCTGAATCTCAACCAGGACTTAAAGCCAGTGAGAAAGGCAGGACCAATCAAACTCTGCTTCATACAATCCATAATGTTCCATGTCCACCTGGGTTTGAGGCAGGACTTGCCAAAAAGAAGAGCGAAATGTTTCCTTGTGTTTCCACACCTGCTAATGTTGTTCATACTCCAAGTTCTCAAGCCAAAGAACCTGTTGCAGCTAGAAAAAATGAATCAAACCAGCTGACAGCAAAATTGTTGGAGGAGGCAATGGAAGTTGGAGCTAATGAAGAGACTGTGATGCAGATGGGTGCAATTAATCCTTGCAATGAAGAATCGTGCAACCGATCATCAGACAATTCCAAACTGTCACCAATTATTGAAAAGTGGGATGAAGATATGTACGAGATCACTGAGATGTCGTCTGCCATGTCTATTCGGCTCCAGAAAAACATTTATGACAGGAAGGTGTCTGAGAGGAACACAAAGAGTAGTTCTAAAGGTTCTGGAGACATGTGTCATTCAGCACCAAGGTCAGCTAACAAAAGAAGTAATTCAACTGAATCTTGGGATATGGCCCTTCCAGATGAAAACTCTTTCCATCAACAAACTCGAGCAGTATCATCTGAGAACCCTTCCCATGTGAGAAGACTTTTTGATAAAGAATTAGGGTCAAGTAAGCTAAATGAAAAGCAAAACAATGGTGAATCTTGGAAGGATTCAACTAAAGGGAGGATTGTAAACCTAAAAGGAAATTCGACAAAAGGTAGTGAGAAAGAATCGACCGATATTGAAAATAGGCCCCCCAAACCCTTTGATGTGGAGGCAGCATTGAGAAGGTTTCCGTGTGTGACTGCTAATGGGATGGATGACTGGTGGGATGCTCGGGGTGGCGACCATAGTCAGTACAGCTTTCCTGTGAAGAAAGAGAAGATT